GTAGATGAACATCTTGAACATATGTCAATGTCCCACTTTTCTTAATAGCATATAAGTTCCATTAGGGCATGGTTTTGTGTCTCTTGTTCACTGATGAATGCCAAGTACCTATACTTCGTCCCTACTAGGTGATTGAATGAATCTGGAGACAATTCTTTTCTAATTGGCCTCTTGTATTTTTTTTGTGAGCAAATTACTAAACAGCTTCCTAATACCATTGTTTTGCTTTTCATGTTAAATGTTTTCACAGAGTATAGTAATAATGTAAATCACCTATTTGTTTCCTTCTACTCGTGGAATGATCATGTATACATCCTTGAGATTATGAACCAGTTTTCTAAATTTTCCCCAATTAAGTGCTGTTTTGTTTCACTTTCTTAAATCATGGTTCAAAAATCCCAGTACTTTTGAACTGTATAAAATTTATGTTCTGTTTATAGTAGATTTGGTGTAAAATTTGGTTTAATTATGAGTGTAGATTGTTTATGCTTTCTTTTCTACTTTTTTCCTGCAAATACTGCACCAGTTTATTACCTTAATTTATTTTAATCTTCTTATTTTAATCTCATTTCTGCATTAAGCAGGAAAATTGTAAAATACAGAAATTACTTTTAGTTCCACAATGCAAGGGCAGAAGAGTTTCCTGCATAACTTGAGCTGCCTTTTCCAGGGAGCTGTTTTTAAAATCGAAGCTCTAATGTTACTAGACAATATTCTAGATAATATCAGATTTCTGTTTTGTAGGAGTACAATTGCTAAATTGTTGTATATTCAAAAAAGTTTTTTCTTGTTTCCCCCCCTTTTGATTTTTGACTTGATTTTCTAATGTGGAGAGAAAAAAGGTGTTAAGATGGTGAAGTTTTGATAAGTTTTATCATGTTTGTTTTCAATATGTTTGTGGTCATATACTTCCTTAACAGATGGTGAGCAAAAAGGAAGTGTGAATATAAGTGTAATGTGTATACAAGTTTTTAACTTATTTGAAAATTTTAATGGTTAGAGGATAAGTGGGAATTTCAATAATGTTTACAGGTAGGAATTACTATGTTTAATGATTAATGACAACTTTTTACAAATTTTTCATACTTCCAGGTATATGAAAATAGATTTAACTACAATAATTAATATTTCCCCAGCTCTTATTTTGAATAAAAGATCATTGTTATTTTAGAAAAGGAAAGCTAGTGAAGATAAAGTAAAATGAATTTGCTAGCTTCAAATTATACTTACGATAGATATTTTGGATAATGTAAATTTTCTTGAACCATAGTATTATATGATCATTACTAGGTAATGATGACATATAGATTTTCGTGTTTTGTTTGCCTGGCCCAATCTGAGGGAAAAGTTTATAGAACAGAAAAAGAAGGAATGGACATGGGTTGGAATATAATCAACTTTATATTGTTAACTTTTGCTTGTTACTTAAAAAAACAGACCAGATTCATAACTTTTTTCCTTTAAATATATAACTGTTTTGATCATTACATTTAATCAGAACTATGTTTTATTAGTATGCATAAAATTTGAGAAACCTCATGCAAATGAGATTGGACAGCCTATAATATAAAAAGATAAATTGGATAGCAGTGACTCTTAGTGTGAGGAATTAACTCAGTATTTCATAATATTGAGTGTTTTTATGGTACTTAAGGATTTAGATTTTTTTGCAATGTTACATATACCATAGACCTATTATGAAAAGAATCTTACATAGAAGTGGTCTAAACTTAGTCCAGCTTATTTCTGGTTCAGTTGTCAACCCAGATCATGTTGATAAGACACTTGTTTTTAAAGTATAATTCAAATAAAGATAAAAATTTGTACCTGCCTATTTCACTATTGCCTGTTGCAAGAGGGAGACAGAACTTAATCTTTAAATGATAATCAGTCTCTGAATGATTGATAGCTGTTTTCGTTTCTGCTGAAAAATAGGTTATTTTAATTGTCTAATATAAATACTAAATTATGAATTTTCTTATGTCGTTTGTGATTAAAGATGGACGTTCTTTTTATAGTAGATAATTCTTGAAGTTTATTTGTTGGTTGCACATAAGATGAGTAGTGGAAAATACATCTTGATATGTGCAGAATGCATATAGTACCAAATTGTTAATGTGTAGACCTATGAATTTTATTAAATAATTAGAATTTAGTTCAATTGTGACCCTAAGAATTATTCATTGTAAACCTACTAAAGGCTTTCATGAATTTTCTCAGAAAACCTATTTTCCCATTCCAATAGATGCAGTAACCGTTTAGTTTTAATGAGATAAATAGACATATGATGGCATATGCATTAAAGAGAGGATTGAGTTGCACACAAAAATTATTAGCTGCTTCATTATGTACTGAAGAAGCAACTTGATCTTATTAAGATTTAAAAGATTCCTAGCCTGAGGATGACACCTAAATGGAATGATGTATCATTTTGAAATGCTCAGCAGGCAAACTGTTGAGTTCTCTTGCTCATGTTTCCTAAGGGGGCAGGAGGGAAGTTGTACAAGCATGCTATGTAATTTAATTGTTGACTTTATCTACTAGGTATGTCCAAAGAAGACCATAGTTAACATTAAGTTGTGAATCTAATTTTGAAAGCACTAAAAAACAGTTGACACTTGAATTTTGAGTGCAGTGGGTCTCCTACTAGACACGTAATAACACTGTGTTAATCCAGTGTTAGATCCCAGAGCGTGCTTGATGGTTGGGGTGTTAGTAGAAGTTTTTATCTCATTTGTTGACTGTCTCTCTCTGAAATTTCCACCATTTTAAGCCCTTAGGTAGATTCTGGCCACACCCCACTTTGTTTCTCTTTATAAAATATTATTCTGCTTTTAAAATATTTATGCAAAGAAGTGTTTTAAACTTGGTTTTTTTGGTGAACTGGTTTAAACATGTTTGTTTTATATCTAATCTAGCAAGACAGTTTTATTTTAATCATATACTATAATGCTACATTTAATCAGTTTCAAAGGTTCAGAAAACTCCTGTAAAAAAAGATTCAAGAGTAGATTTTTACCTTTGATTCCATAATTGTAATTCATGGATTAGCCAACAGTTTAGTGTTATTAAACCTATAGTCTTCAGCAGCCTTGCTAATGTTACTAGTAAAACATCGCGTTTTGTTTTTTGATTTTTTACAATTGGAATATCTTATAGGATGGAATCAAAGAAAATTAATAATAAATAATTCTGACAAAAAATGTGGGTTATTTACTCATTTTTTGGGGTTGCTTCAGTTAAAGCCACTTTTCAATATTTCAGAGTTAATGAAAACACCAAAGTATTCAAAGTCACAGACACCCGTTGCTTGAAAATTATGAGATCGTAAACAATGTCACATAGCATTAAATTACTCTATGAAATGAACTGCATGGGATTCTAAGACTTTTATCATCAAAGTTAATAATTTTATGGAACATCACAAATATAGAGAAATCTTAAGTCAAATTAGGGTCTACAGCCTATAACTGATTATGGACAAGCTACTTAACCTGTTTAATAACCACAACCTTGATTTAAAAAGAAAATTAAAAAATTCTCTTGGTTTTGTTTCTTCAAGTGCTATACCTCCATCATCTGTTTCAGAAGACCTCACTTCCTATTTTGAAGGAAATAGGTCATCACTTAAGAATTAATTTCTTCTTCTTAAACCTGTCTTTCTTAACATCACAATTGACTTCTTTTGTTATTTTAGCTTAACTATTTGTAACTAAAAAGGAGTAATACAGTTCACCCTTGAACAACATGGGGGTTAGGGGTACCAATTCCCCTGCACAGTCAAAAATCTGAGTATAACTTTTGATATTCTAAACTCTTTACTAATAGCCAGCTGTTGACCAGATGCCTTACCAATAACAAACATTCGATTAACACATGTTTTGTATGTTCTGTGTATTATTTACTGTATTCTTAGAATAAAGTAAGCTAGGGAAAAGAAAATGTTGTTAAGAAAATCATAAGAAAATACATTTACGTTATTTATTGGGAAAAAACAAAACAAAACAAAACCGATGTATAAGTGGACATGTGCAGTTCAAACCCATGTTGTCCAAGGGTCAACTGTAATCACTAACATTTATTGAGCACTTACTGCATTTCAAGCACTATTCTAATGTGTTTTCTGTATATTAACACATTAAATCCTTTTAGCAACTCTTCATGTAAGTATAACCCTTGTTCCCTTTTTACAGATGAGGAATCTGAGGTCTAGAAAGTCGGGTAACTTTAGGGTTACACAGCAAGTAAATACCAAATCATGGATTTGAACTCAGCCAATCTTACTCTAGAGCCTTTCTTTTAACATCAATGCTGCATTCTAATTCCAGCCTAAATTATGCTTTCTTGTCTTTGCGCGTGCATTTCTCTTTGCCCCTTTCCCAACCAGTTCTGTTAGTTCATTTAGCCAATTTCTTTTTGAAGGGTGCTGAATCATAAGCTAGTGAAGTAGTCGACATCTAGGTTTAAATTTTGACTCTGCCTGCCATTTAATTTGCTTTGTGACATTGTGCATGTCACTTTCTACATCTTTAGAAATGGGCCAGTATGTTCCTTATGGAATTAGTTTATAATGATTAAAGAGTATAATATATAAAAAATGTATAGCATAGTGCCAGCACCTGATAAACCCTTGTGAACGCTGCTCTACCTCTTGAGCTGTGAGGATTTTCCTGGGTGCTGCAGATTGTGTGAGATGAAAGTCTTTGGTTAGTGGTTTTTTTTGCAGGATGTCTGAAAGGTACCTAGCACACATCTAAACAGTGTGCTGCATACTCATAGTGGATGTGTAAGGTCCACTTAGGGTGTGTTGTGTTTGGTTAGGAACCATTTTAAAGTATTTTGTTATTTCTGGGTATAGATGTTTACTAGAGGATTTCTCTTCACACTGGTCTTCAGTAGGGGTGAAGTATACATTATAGGGGAGATTTCATGGTTCCTAAAACGCTGGCTGAGGAGGATTACATACAGCCTATTTAATTTTTTTTTCTTATTTTTTCCAGAAAATTTGGTGAGCGACCTCCACCTAAACGGCTCACTAGGTAAGCATTATATTAGCCTTTCACCCAAACATTTCATAAAAGTATTAGATCCTATCATTTTAGAAACTGTATTAGGTCCTCTTGAAAATAAGTTTATGAAATATTGGTATCTACATTATAAGCTTATTACCATCTTCCCTATCCCACATTCCCCCCTCACCAAAAAACAAAACAAAACAAGAAAACAGGATAAGAGGATGGAGTTCAAAGGGGAAATTGAAACCTTTGAACAATTAATCTTGGATATTATGTAGTTAATATAACACAGGCTGCTATGTAAAGATAGCTTGCTATATTTAGCGGCATTTAGCTTATCACAATTTGTTGATTTTTAAGTGGCTCTTGAAGACACTTAATAATTGCTTTTAGAAAAGAATTCTATAGGAAACCAAAGATTTTACCCATTTTTAATGAGTCTATAAATATTTTAGTTAGAAATATTAAATTTAAAAGTATTGAAAATGATTTTAAAAAGTTCTGACAGTCAGTGGTTGTAAAATAAAAAGTAAGACACTCAGTTTCACAGTTTTAGTCCTAGAGTTAATGCTAGCACTGAATTGTTAGTATCTTTTAAGAAAATTGTATACATATAAAACACGCCTGTCATTTTTTTTTCCTTTTTAAAGTCTGACATCATACTTGACCATTGTTCTATATCTTTTAATACCTCTTAATTGTATATCTTTTGCCTCGTTCTCTACATTGTCTTCACACTGCTTTTATTTTACATTTCATATTGATAGCCATTTGGGTTATTTCCACTTTTAAAAGGCTGTTGTACTCAGAGAATGATGGGAACATGCCAGAAGGACTCAAAGGGAGCCAGCTTGAAGAGGCTCCCTGTAGCCAAATCATAGGCACTTTGATCATCAAAATTAATAATGATAGTAATGGATTCAAACCCATATAATGACAATTTAGAAGTCTACAGCAAGTTAAAAAATGATTCAGTAAATAGAAGAGAGGAGATAGCTTTTCCGTACAGAAGAAATCTACCTAATGTAGAAGGAATGATGGAACCAGAAAATCATACTTTGGTAACCACTACAATGTTAATTGTTTCAGGCAAAAAATCATTAATGAGTGCTTAAACTATTGGTTTAAAATCTAATGAGAAACAAAATATTTACGTAGTCTCTAAGTGTGCCCTCACAAAGCATGTATTAATTATAAAGCAAAAAATAATAACATGACAGTGGAGAAACCTAGCAGATACCACCTTAATTAAGTGATCAAAATTAACACCACCAGTAATGGACAAATAAATATTATGTGCATCCTGAGAGGGACACATATCACTTTTATAGGGTTGTTGCTATAATGCGTAAACATCAAACAGGCATAAATGAGGGACATTCTATAAAATTAATGGCATTTACTCTTTAGAATTTTCAAGATCATGAAAAACAAAGATAGGAATTCCAGATTAAAGGAGACCAACAAGACATGACAACTAAGTTCAACTAAATCCTAGACCAGGAGAAAAGTTTCTTTTGCTCTAAAGCTGGAGTTGGAAAACATTTTCTGTAATGGGCCAGTTAAGAAACGTTGGGCTTTTTGAGCCATACTGAGTCTTTTGTGACTTTTCAACTCTTCGTTTATCCCCAAATCAGCCATAGAAAACATATAAATGAACATCTGCACATCTTTTGCAACTCAACTGAATTTTGAAAAACTGATGGCTATCCTGATTTGGCTTGATGGTGGTAGTTTCTCAACACTGCTCCTTCTCCTCTTCCCAATAAAGAACATTAGTGGGAAATAGCAACATGTTGAGTAAAACCTGCGGATACAAATACTGTATCAGTGATAATCGCATTGTGATTATATAAGAGAGTGTCTTTGTTTTAAGAAATAAACACTGAAGTATTTTGAGTAAAGGGGCTTTATGTCTATAGTGTGCTATTAAATAGTTTTAAAATGTAGTGTACAAATATGGTAACGTTAACAAATTTGAAGAGTCTGGGGAAAGGGACTAGGAATTCTTTATATTACTTTTGCATCTTTTCCTTAAGTTTGAAATTAGCTTCAATATTTTTTTTAAAAACTTTTTAAAAAAGATATTACATAAATATTCCAGATCAAGTGGGCTTAGAAAATATAACTTGTCTTACAAGTCCATGTAAATAATATTTTTAATTACTTATTTTTATATGTCTTGAAAGAATTCTAAGTGGAATTGCTTAATTCACATATATAGACATTTTGAAATTTAAAATTTAATAGATACATATTTTTATTTCATTACCAACAGCAGTAGGTTGGAGTGACTCCTAACAATAAAATATATTTTGATGAATAAATTAGTTACTTTAATGGATACCTCTATAAAAATAGCAATCAAGACAATGATAATAAATATAAGGAAAAATTCCTTTCCATAAATATATACAATAATATAGTTAGGCCCCATCTACTTTATTATGATTTTCCATTTACCCTTTAAGCAGTTATCCCTGTTTGGAAAATTTTAGTAGCTTTTAGGACTGCCTGCTTCTGGCCAAGATGGAGTAACAGGGACTGGAATTACTCTTCGGCCTGAAACAACTAAAAACCTGGACAAAAATATATGAAACAGCGGTTTTCAAGATATTGGACGGCAGGCAAGAAAGGACAGTGATCCTTGAGAGACAGGAGACAAATGAGGTGAGCCCTGCGATTGCTCCAGCTTAGTGTCTGGAGAGAGTTTCCAGGATGTGATATAAGGAGGGAAATCCAGGTGGAGCCTAGTAAGCACCTTGAAGTGATGGAGTTGGGAATCGAGAGAGACCAAGGTGGCTAGAGTTTCCAGGGCAGAGAAGTAGAGAGGAAAGTGCTACACAGAGTTCCAGAGATCTGCAGAGGTTCCCTCAGTCTTCAGCTGAGTATTGATCAGCACATGTGTGTGAGGAAACTACCCAAGATTGGGGACGTGGAGGAGAACCAACCCAAAGAATTAGAGGCAAGAATTTCTAAAGTTCACTCAGTACTACAAATTGTACCTGTTCTCAATAGCCAGTGTGGAAAAATCTCATAATTCACAGCACATGGACTAGAGTATTCAGTATTCGGAAGAGTTTTGCTTCAGTAGTGGTACAAAATTAGGCCTAGATTAAATGTTGCTCTGGTTTCATCTAACAACTTAAAAGCAAGATTGAAAGGATCAAACTCTTCCCAAATAACTGTACCAGAGCAAAGCTAAAAATATTTATAGGAATAGACAAATATCCAGCACTCAAAAAGGTAAAATTCATTGTGTCTTAATATTCAATCAAAATATCCTAGTCATACTAAGAAGCAGGAAAATATGAATTCATATGAGGAGAAAAACCAGTCAGTTAAAGCTAACCCAGAAATGACACAGGTGATAGACAAAGGCATTAAAACAGTTATATTTATCTTATATATGTTCAAGATGCTAAGATTAGGAGTTTACAGAAATTTTCTCTAAAGGGTCAGGTGGTGAAGTTTAGTTTTTTGTAGTCCATACACCCTCTGTTGGAACTACTCCGTTGTAGCCTAAAACCAAATGTAGACAATATGTAAACCAATGGATGAGTCTGTATACTAGAATACAACTTTATTTCTAAAATAAGTGATAGTTTGGATTTGGTCTTCAGGCTTTAATTGCATATCCCTGAGCTAGAGGAGAGATTAAACAAGTTAAAGAGAGAACATGGAAGATAAAAAAAAGGGAAGATACAGATCATATTTCTAGAGATGAAAAACATACAGTACTTAAGATGAGAAAAATACACTCGATGGGATTAATTGCAGAAATACACCACTAATGAAAGATTAGTGAACTTGAAGACATGGCAATAGAAACTATCCAAAATGAATCCCTTAGAGAAAAGTCTGAAAAAAAATATGCTTAGTGAGCTGTGTTTTTTATTCCAGAGGATTAAGATACATGTAATTGGAGTCATTAAAGGAAGAGAGGTTATAACTAAAAGAATATGTGAAGAAATAACAGCTGAACATTTTTTAAATTTGATGAAAACTGTTCCAAGAAACTCAGTGAACCCCAAGTGCAAAACCTACACTGAAGCACATGATAATCAAATTGCTTAAAGTCAGTGATAAAGAGAAAATGTTAAAAGCAAAAGAGAAGAAAGATAAATTATATACAGAGGAGCAAAAATAAGGATGATAGGAGGTTTTTCATCTGAAACCTTGCTAGGTAGAAGACAGTAGAGCAAGAGCTTTAAAGTACCCAAGGAGAGAAATATAGCAACCTAAAATTTTATACTCAGTGGAGGCAAAATTAAGACCTTTTTAGACATAAAAAACTAAAAAATAATCACAAACAGGCATGAGCTACAATAAATGTTAAAGAACTCCTTCAAAGCAGGACAGTCATATCCAATGGAAATCTGATTCTGTACAGATTACTGTCAAAAATGAGGAAGGTGACATCACTACAGATTTTACAGATATTTAAAGAATAACAAGCAAATATTATAAATAACTTTATGCTAATAAATTTTACAACTTTTGAAGAAATGTACAAATTTCTTGAAACTAGCAAACTGCTCAAGCTTACTCAATAAGAAACAGCCCTTTTAGCTAAAGAAATTGAATTTGTAATTATATGTCTTCCCACAAAGAAAACTACAGGCTCAGATGATTTTACTGTTGAACTCTACCATACATTTAAGAAATAAATCATGTCATCTATATATACTCTTCCAGAAAATCGAAGAGCGGCACATACTTCCCAATTCATTCTGTGAGGACAGCATTGCCGTGTTATTAAAAGCAAAGACATACAAGAAAATAAAACTATAGACCAATATTCCTTGTGAACATAGAGTAAAAAGTCTTAACAAATTTTCAAAATAAATAACAATATGTGGAAGGGATAATACATTATGACCTAATGAGATTTATCTCAGAAATAGAAATCAGTCAGTGTTATTCAATATATTAACAGAACAAAAAAGGAAAATCATATAGTCATCTCAAGGGATTTCATCCAACTAGGAATAGAATGGAATTTCCTTATTTTGATAAAAGAT